AGCAATTGCTTTTCTTATTTTTCCTTTTCTCTCTTTCAGGATGATGCTGGTGGTAAGCAGCATTTTTTTTTTCTTCCTTTTTCTCCTTGTCGTCGTCTTCCCCCTTTCTGTGATTTGGAGAACAGATTATAGAGTAGATCTGAGAAAACAGACATTCATTGAAACAGGAGAGATCCTAACTTGATACAAAGCAAATTTTTTTTCACCATTATAACAGTCAAGTGTAGAACAGGCTGCCCAGAGAGGTTGTGTGGTCTTTACCTCTGAAGGTTTTCAAGGCACTGCAGGATAAATCCCTGGTTAACCTGGGACAGAGTATGGCAGTCTCATTTTTACAGTGAATTGTGGCAGTTATAGGTGCAAAGATCATGTAAATCCCTTCCTTTGCTTTGCTTGATGACTTCTGCCAGCAACTAAAAAGGTTATCCATTGCAAGCAAGTATTATTTTATAGATGTCTTCCTAACAAAGATAACTGAATATCTTCAGCTAATAGAAACTGCAGAGACTCTTTCGGTATTTGGGACCAGAAAAAAAAAAAAAAAGTTTTATCAGTATAAGGCAGACTTGTCTACCGTCTCTCCTACTGTCCTGTTTCCAACAGTGGCAATAACTCAGTATCCATAGAGAAGGAAGAATGATATAAGCGTATTTGATACTTTGCTAGCCTCCAACTATTTTCAGCTTGGGTTGCTTCCTGAACTAGCTGTGGTTTCTAGGCTTGAGTGTATAGCCACCACCAACTGTAGGAATCTACATCAAACTCTTAGTAATCAATTGGAGGAATGATAAAGACTAAAACCAATAACTCTGTCATTGTTGAAGTCTTCTGCAGTGGTGTACATGTCTTTTTTATTTACTTTTTCATTATAGCCATCACCTCTTCTGGGAGTAAGTCTTGAAGAATCACTCTTGTTTTAATTAATCCATAACTGTTGAAATCATGCCTCATTTGAAAATACTCATACTGTAGGATGATATCATACCAGCCTGTTCTTACACCTGTTAGAAGCACTTAGATTAACCAATGAATATTGCACCAAGACAAGTCACGACTGGCTTATTGGAGTTTTGTGCAGCTTGGGAAATCTTCACTGATTGTCTCCCATGGAAATTCAGCCTGATAGTATAGACAACATTTCTCAGAATCTTTAGAAGCTCTAGAAAATCAATGCTCTTTTGAAAAAATCATTCCCTCAACTCCCCCTTTCCTCCCCATCCAAATTCAGGTTTTCTTAATTTTGGAACTTCTGTCCCCTGATAACTAATGTGAACATGAGCTAACCCAGTGAGGGTAGTCATCTCTCATGTAGGTACGCGATAGTACTAATGCAGCAGATTCAGATTGGAACAGTCTGTTTGTAAATCTCTGTTAACAAAGTATTCTTAAATAAAAACCATGACAAAATAACATCAGTGAGCAAAATTATAATGGAAAGCTTGATTGCAAAAATGTCTCCAAGGCCATATAGAGATGATTTGGTACAATGCTATTGTTTTACAAGTAGCACAAATGTTGACAAGATTTGATATTATTTTTTTTTCCCCAATCCTAATTGAAAATGTGGGGTGGTATGGAAAGCTATATTCTGTATTTAAAATAATGGCTTAATTTTGCAAAAGTAGTCTAGAAGAAAAAACAGATAACTCTTTGGATTAAGGGGTGGCTTAATCAAATTCAAGACTCATTTTAAGGCTTTTGGCATAGATTTATTAATTATATAAGCAATGCTGATATGTCAAGCAAGAGTGAACTTTCTGAGAAACAATTATAAAACTGTCTATTCAAGGATGCTGAGAATTTGGAGAATTATTCTGGGGATATATTTCTGTATCTTTCATTTAGAAGAATTTAGTCTTGCTTTTGCTATGGACTTTTTTTTGGAGAAGGACTCTCCTATAGCTAACATAATGCTGCTGAAGTAAGCTTTTTCAGCTTGGATAACGTAATTTAGGAATGAGCAGTGATTTGTAAACCTAGAGGAAAACTGTAGTGGTTATCTTGAATCCATTAGCTGCAAGAACTAAATGACTAATTATATAAGTATCTGCTTCCTCTTACTATCCAAGACTGTGGATATCATAGAGTATAGCATCAGTACTGCTGCTTTGCCACAGTACGATCAGCCCTTGGAGCAATGGAAATTAAATTCTTTATCAGCTCTTAGAGTTTCTCCCTTTGTGTATTTTATTTTGACACTGAATGCATTTTATAATGTGGATATCTGTTTTCTAAAAATTAATTAGTGCCATTGTCCTAGTTCAATTGAGATCACTTAATCTAAGAATGAAAGGAAGAATCCTGCCTTGACAAATAAACCAAGAAACCAATGCTACACCCTTAAATTCATTTTTGGTGTTTGTGGCTAGGACTGATTTTGTAGGGTTTTTATGGAATAAAATTCAGAGTCTGGTTCTAGTCATTCTTTCTGGTCTTGACCAGACAGTGACAGTTTATACACAGTTGTCAACTGAATTAGACAAACCGTGTGTACTCCCACCGCCCTCCTGTTTGTGAGTGGCAGTGTACAGGAACAGAACTAGGTACTTTCTCTGCTTGGCATCCCTCAACAATGTGGATCCAAAAGATGCAACTTGTCTGCAGAACTGTTTTAGTAGTCAACAAGTACTGTACCCCACCCACATCTCTAGCTAGCAGATGGTGAGGCAAGCCTGTAGAACATGGTGAGGGTTTTCACTACACCTCTTAGAAGTAAATAAATAATATTTGAAAGTTCTATTTAAAAATCTAAATTACAGCATTAATTAACCATGGAAGCATAGCATCGTATAAATACAGGATTTTCTATTATCTGTTAAACTTTCATGGTCATCTTAGATAAATATTAACTCAGTAGTTTCAAGTACTACTTAAGCATGAGACAGTATTTATTTGAGATATTGCTCATCTGAATGCTCAAAATATCAGAGACTTCTGACTAAAGACATTTCTGCAGGAAAAGATGAAGTACTACTCTGCTGCAAGTCCTCCTTTTCTTTTTCAATTTTTTTTTCTTTTTGAAGTGATTAAATATGCATTTAGAACAAGAAGTCTTTCAGTATGAATAAGCAGACGAAATTACTTCATTATGAATTTCTGTGAAACCATGCTAAAACTACAATCCTGTCAGCACTGTATTCTTTCTGTGATTTCCAAATCACAGTAGTAACAAATACATTTTTCATAGTCACCAGCCCAATGGACTGCTGTTTGCTCTGGGTATCAAGCTAGGTTCTTCCCTGCTGTTCATGAATACAAGATTCTGCAGGCGGGGTCATGGTTGCTTCTGTTTCTCTCTCAGTTGTATTCAGTTTATTCTTTCTGTGACTGCTGTGTGACTTTCTGCATTGGTACATAGATTTGGCTTTGATAATCTCAGTTTGGGATTTTAGTATTATTTAGTCCTTTAAAAATAAGAAATTATAACTTTATGTCTCTATGCATGAAAATTATCACTAGTATGAAAGACTGTAAAATTCAAGTCAGTTTCATTTTTCTGAATAGGAGCATGCTTAGAACTTCACTAAGGCAGGGGCTTTGCCTTACTGAGCTCACCATCTATATGATAAGTTGCAATACTGATATTTGCTCTAATATACACATTTAATACTCAAAAATGAAATTTCCACAAAGTCCTCTAATGAGTTAGTGTCACAGTTAGGAATAAAGACAGTCTGATTACAGATATGGTATTGTGTTCTAACACCATGTTCAACATCCTCTGCGGTTATGTAATAGCAGCGGCAAAATTCAAGGAAAATTGCTAATTAGGTTTCACCCAGGAAACTGTATCTTGCTTGATCAATATTATCAGAAATATGTGACCTGTCAGTCTCTCTTACTTCCCCACACTGTTACCTCTGTTCTGACTTTCTGTTCTGTTAAGATCACTTAATTTCTTTTCAGCATAATAGTTTAAGGGACGTCATCCCATTTATTTTAAAAATCTGTTTTCTGCACTTTGTACATATCAGAAGCACACCTTCTAGCAATATGCTTTATCCAGACTGCATGATTAATTGAATTTACACAGTACCGCTCAACTCTAAAATAAGGCATTTTACCAAAGTCGTCATAGTATAATCACCAAATTGGTATAGTGGTTCCAATTCTAAGCTGAAAGGAAGAGGAAAACAAGTAAGTTTTCAAGTTGGTTTTACAGACAAAAGGAGTAAAGTATTTTTTATATCTATGAATAATTACAGAGAAAAGATGCTAAGTGAAAAAAACCACATTATAAGATTTGACCTTTACTTCCTGCTAAGACTTGAACTCCAGCATCAGAATATTCCTGCTAATGTAGATTATTATCATCCAGGTTTGTGAAAAGTGCTGAGGAAATTAAGAGAAAGAAGTGGAGTCTGCTTTGTACTGAGTCAAAATTGAAATTACTGCTGCCTTCCATTCGCTTTAAACGGATCTCTACATTGGATTTTTTAATTGTCATTCAGCTGGCTGTTGGGTGTCCATGTGGCATCCTCACAGGGAATGCATTACAGTAGTTTTAAGAGGGTAAAAATTATATAATGAGTAAAATTTGTTACATTAGTAGCAAAATCACATCCATTAGTATACCAAGTACAGGAATCTTTTTTGAATCTCTCTGATATCTGAATTACAAGATGATGTGATATATTTGTCTGTTCTCTAGTCCTTTTTATTGAAATGCCATTGTTGTAAACAAGTCCTCAATGCAGTAGTTCATTTGTATACATTAAGACCAAAGACATTATAACATGAAATGCGTGGAAAGGACAAGTGAACAAGATATAAATGTTGTGAGAAGAACTGCAGTAGAAGTGGAAAAGATATTAATTGTACTTCTTAAAGAATTTGTCTAGTAAAGGAAACAAATGCAACCTTTTGAATGTAATTTTATGTGCTCTGAAAATATGTTATAGTGACTAACTAAATACTGGGTGGTTTGTTTTTTTTTTTTTAAAAGCCTACTTCTAGGTGAATTAATTAAACATTTGTGGGTTGCATTGCTTTTTACTTAGCCCTGAAGTTGTAAAGAGTGAGCCGTATGGAGAGAAGGCTGATGTCTGGGCTGCGGGATGCATCCTTTATCAGATGGCAACTCTGAACCCACCGTTTTACAGCACCAATATGCTCTCCTTGGCAACTAAGGTATTCAGATTTGACAGATCAACCTACCAATTATTTCTGCATGTGCTCACTAGATCCATGAGAATTTATACTTAAGGTTGTAGAAGCATAAACTGCTCTCTGGTCTGATGTGTGAGTGAGCACAAGTATTAATCATTGTATGAATTGCTATCTTGCCATTCTAATTGCAAAAATTGCTTGTAAATGTTTGTGCATTATTACATCTCAGACTAGTATATTTTATCATTGCATTTGGTGATAGGAGCTTTAGATATATAAAATTTCTTGATATACTATACTATTGGATTTTCTATAGCACTGTGTATTACACCTTAAGATGTGATCACAAATAAAAATAAATCATTGTTTGTGGAGTATTTTTTAAAATATTTCCCTTATTCAGATATTGTAGCCCTTTATTCTGCACAGATTACATATATTAATGTGGATTCCTGATTAGAAGTGACATTCTACATTAGAAGATGTGTTCTAAGTTTTGGAAGTTAGAGATGATGATGTAATGCCCATCAGGTTGTGTCAAGGATCAATACTTATCATACAGGGTCTTAAAATAGATGTTGGAATACTTTTCTTCAATTAACTGTAGATTACTTATTTTGCAGATAGTAGAGGCTGTGTATGATCCTGTGCCAGAAGGACTGTACTCTGAAAAAGTGTCACTTACGATTAAGAGGTAATTACTTATCTAGTTTTATTTCAACATCCTGCTGAAAAGATGTTTTGTTTTGTGTGTTCCTAGTAGTGGTAATGTGACAGTTCGCTGACATAGCAACTGCTGGTATTTGTCTCTGAATATGAAAGATCTTCTGGTTGAAAGAAAAACGGAGGTATCTCCTTGTCCTGCTAATAACATATACAATATAGTTGCATACATGCAACTAGAAAACTCATGCCAGTATAGTCAGGACATTTATCCAGACAGTATAGACTTTACAGTCAGTACTGAAATTTAACAATACCAGTGCAGTATTTAATTCCCTATGCATCATTTTTTTTCCTCCATGAAAATACAGCATTTTGAGTCATTTTCAAGTGTACTTTATGGTCAATGAAGTAACCCTGTTACAATATGTTATTTATAGATCACTGTATGATCACATTCATAGTTTTGTTGTTTATTTGACTGAGAGAAGTATGATTCCCACTACCTTCTAATCCTATTATCAGGACAGCAGAGATAGCAGAGATAATGCAGTAATGGAGGAAAAGATGAGCCTGTGTTTGTTCCACTCACTTCTTTCTCTTAGCTGTGGTTACATCTTCCTGGTGATATTGTAATGTGTAAGGCCAAGTACAGAGAGTGAATTGGTGCACTTCTATGAGATCTGGCTCCCTTGAGTTTTCTATTTTAGAAAAACTCCACATAGCACAAAAATGCTTTTTCTTTCTCATTCAGATGTTGAATTCTATCGCTAAAAAGCACTTAACTGTACAAAGACAATAACATTTTTATACTGTGTTTTATAGTACAAAAAATTTTCTGTTATTTAAAGACCTAAGGACAATAATGGAGAGGATAAGAGCTAATAGAACTAACATTTACATTTATGAGATCCTGAAATGAGTTTTAGTGTTTTAAATATTTATGGATATTTGTAGTTAGAACTGACATTATTAGTTCATTGCTCACTATTTAAGAATAGTGTTGTAGTCTCAAATGCATCCAGAAAATATCTTCCAGTCACATCATATCGGTATTGATGTGTATTGCATTCTCTTACAAAGTTTAAACACATCTTTATCAGTGACCTAGCTAAAGACATGTGAGTTTCTGGCCCTCTGTCTTTTCCTTCTTTTCATTCCGGATGAGGAGAAACTCCATAATAGGAAGTTTTTGAGGGTTTTTCCAAAGCCAGGTATTAAGTTATTTATGATTGTAGATATTGTGGCTGTATTAAACAGGTTCACTGAAAGTCCCATATAATCATGAGACTGGCTGCTGTGGAGGCTAACTACGGAGTTTACTATTGTTTAAATAGATGATTAAATAGGTATTTGCATGAAAATATTAAAATTAAGTTTTTCTATCACATGAGAATTTTTTCTGCTTATTTTAATAGCCGTGGGAGGTATAATTTTTTTTTTTTAAATACTGATTCTTATACTCTGGGTTAATCCTTAAATGAAATATTATGTTTACATTTTGGCTTAGGCTTTTTGACATAGTTAGAAAGAACAAAGAACATTAAAGAAAAGCAGTTATGATGAGATTTTACTTATAATATAGATGAGGAAACATTAACGGAAATTAAGAACTTATTTCCAAATGACTGAAGCACAACATATGTATTCAAAGATGAATGCCATAAATAGAAAAAATAATTTCTTAATAATGATTAGAAAAAACATTGAAAGCTTCATGTTGCAAATGTAAATTTGCATTTAGTTTTATCATTACTGTTATTCAGTATTGTTATTATTAAAATACAGTTTTATTGGATTAAGCTACCAAAGAAAGTTCTAGAATCAATCATCAAAGCCTTTTGTAGTTGAACATCAATCTACTCAGTGTTTAGTCATAAATAAATAATTTCCTTCTAGGTGCATGGGAAATGGATTTAGGACTTATCAGAAATCTTTTATAGCTCACATCATTCTTGGAAATTTTGGCCAATTTCATTGGATTAAAATAAGTCTAAAAAAATTAAATGGAACATTTCTCAACGTGAAAAACTTCTGTCTGTTAAAGGAAATATAAAATTTTAAGTAAACCAGGTTAACAAAGTTACGAAAATTAATGAGACAAATCAACAGATTAGAGAAAATTTAAACACAAAATATTAAAATCAAGAAGTTCAAGTATGGTAAAGCGTTTTCAAAACTGTTACTTTAGGTGGCAGTCATATTTTTTTAGAAAATATTGTTTTAGAAATAATAAATCATTCAGGGACGCTATCTTTAAAGAAGGGTGTTGGGTTAAGTGCATCTGTATGCTAGCTGCTCAATAGCACTCTGCAGGGAAATAGAAGTAAATGATGGAGTTCACTGGACTTAACGGATTCAAGACAGTTTATAGTATATGTAGAACTGTCCCTACATATGTTCATGTAGTATTCTACATGTACTACATGTAGTACATGTAGAATCAGCTTTCATGTCCTACACTACATACAAAATGTTCTGTGGATTTTAAAATAGCCCTAATAGAATATTATCACTGTTACCAAACGGCTACCTAGAGTGCCTGAAACAAGAATCACAGAACTATAGAGGGGACCTCCTGAGGTCATCTAGTCCATCTGCTCAAAGCAGATACGATTAGATCTGGTTGCTCACTGCTCAGGGTCTTGTCTAAGTAAGTTCTGAATATCTTGAAGGATTGAGAATTCACTCCATCCTGTCATCTAGGTCATTAATAAAGACATTAAACAGCACTGGCCCAATATTAATCCCTGGAGGATGCTACTTCCAGCCACCAGGTGTATATTCTACTCCTGATGGCATGTCTTTGAGCCAGGAAGTTCAGCCAATTATCTGCCTACCTTGTAGTCCTGTGGAACTGTGGGATATTGTGTCAAAGACCTTGCTAAAATAAAGCTACCCACAACATATACTGCTCCCACCTTGTCCACAGAGCCAGTAACCTCATCATAGAGAGCAATCAGGCTAGTCAGGTATGACTGCTGTCTGATAAGTCCATCGTGGCTGTTCCCAGTTCTCTTCTTTGTGTGCTTGGAAATTTGTCCTTTGTCACCAGGTTGCATAGTGGGTCCACGTTTTCCTTAACCTTTCTTTTGTTGTCAATATACTTATAGAAGCTCTTTCCTTATCCTTCCACATCCATTGCTAGTTTCAGTTCTAGCTGTCAACTGCTTTTCCTAAATCCACCCTTTGGGCAATATCTGTGTATTCTTCCTGTGTAGTCCACCCCAGCGTCCTACATGGAGGAGCGGGCTGTTCTTGTGCTTTGAGGTGTCCCTGAAGATTAGCCAGCTCTCCCAGGCTTTCCATTTAACTTCCAGGACAGTCTTCCATGAGATTCTACCAGGAAGATCCCTGAACAGGCTGAATTCTGCTCTCCTGAAGTCCTGTGTTGTAACCATACAACCTGTCTTTCTCACTTCTCTCAGGATTTTGAACTCTGGCTGCTGTAGCTGAGGCTGCCCTCAGTCTTCACATCCTTATCTGGTTCTTCATTGTTTGTGAGCAACAGCTCTGGCAGAGTACCTTTGCTAGTTAGCTTCTGAAACCTGCACCACGAAATTGTCATCAACAGATTCCAGAAATCTCCTGGATTGCTGCACTCATCTGTATTACTCCATCAGCAGATATCAGGGTGGTTAATAGGCTCCAGTGAGTATGACTGCCTGCAATCATGAAGCTTCCTGCATCTGTCCAACAAAGGCTTCGTTAACTTCCTCTTTGGTTTTGGGTGGTTTATAGCAGGCATCTACCACAATGTCACCCATGTTGGTCTGTTCCTCTGATCCTTACCCATCAGTTCTTGACTACACGCAACTAGGTGTTGGACTGCAGGTTGCACCCACCCTGACTTCAGCCTTTCCCCCTTGCTGGGAGGACTGAGGAGAACACTGCCTTGGCCCCCTGCCCTTCACACTTGACCCAAGTGCTCTATAGTTACTTTTGGTATCTTCAGGGTCGACCCTGCTAGTGCCATTCATGCCCTTATGAATGAGCAGCAAGGTGTAATAGCCCAACGGCCAGATGAGTCTTGGTAGTATCTCCACAGTGTCCTGAATGCAAGCACCTCACAAGCACAATTATCAAATCAGGTCAAGCAGATGGATGCCTCTGTTCCCTCAATCTCAAATGACTGTCAGCTGCTTCTTATTTGTGATGTGAACACTTGATTCAGACTTACCTGACTCTGATGTGTCCGCTGTTAGGTCTTGTTTTTTCTCACCTGTTCCTAGGTCACTCTACCTTTTCTGTAGTTGTGCATCTGTACTCAGAGGAAAAGCCTTCCTTCTGCTGGCAGAAATCACAGGTCTCCAGGCTACCTCTTCTTGGGAGTCTCCATCCACTGTTCCTTTGAGGGTGATCTCTAGATTTTCCTCCTTCGCATTGTTAGGGGGTCTTGTCTCTGCAAACCTCTGTGAAGATCTTGTCATTCTCCTGTAAATCCTCCTGACAGCACTTTTGTCTCCTTTACAGCTGCTTTGTCCAGCGGTGCAGCACCTTGACCAGAGCACAGTCCCCACAAGGGAGGCTAACGTCTCCCTCAGCCCCAGGAAGAGGCACCAGGCACTCCCTAGAGTGTCTGAGAGTGTGCAGCAGCAGCCCCCCATAGTGGTTGGTGTCTCTGAAGTGCCAACAATATTTATTCCAGCTGATGCCAGAGACTATGCTCTGTAGTGTGTCAACACCAAGGCTGCACAGTGTTAAACTGTCCCACACAGGCTTGAGCAGAGTGCTGGCCAGCATGACTTGATAAATAACCAGTGGAGGAATTAATTGATAGTAAACAGTTTTTTAGAAAGAAGTAATTAGCTTTCATTATAAAGTGTTCTTTCTATAGATGCCTGACTCCTGATGCAGAGGCACGTCCAGACATAGTGGAGGTGAGCTCACTGCTGTCTGATGTGATGATGAAATACCTGGATGTTTTATCCACCTCTCATCTCATGATGGAGAAGAAACTGGATCAGGAGAGGAGACGAACCCAGGGGTACTTTGTGGAGGTTAATCGAAATGCAGTAACCTATCGCCATCAGCTTTCCATTTTATCACAAGTAAGTGCATGTATTGGGCTTTATTTTTTGTCATTGTTTGGCATATCTGAGGAAAAAAAGGTACAACAAAGCAGAAAATAAAATGAAAAGACCCATCCTCGTATAACATTTTTCCATGCAGGGTCTTCAATTTATTTTTAATGAGGTATTCATTCATTTTTTGTGGGTATGCGTATGCAGGAAAAATAACCATATCTTAAAACCCAGTATCATTCCATGTTGGAGAATGGCATTGTTGTGGAGGTATTTGCAGTTTTGATAGAATCTGCTAACGTTTAATTATTACTGCACACTTATGAATAGTTGGTGAATAGGAGAATAGACACTTGGCTAGGGTGGAACAAATGGATAATCTTGTGTATGATTCACAAACAATGACACCTGGAAAATGGAACCTACACAAATATAATTTTTAATTACAGATTGCTAAATAAAGGACAGTGATGCTGATAAGATATTTGCTCATGCTTTGTTACTGTCTGATACAGTTCTGCAGAAGTACTTAAAATATTTCCATTTGCTTCACGCTGTGTTTTAAGCACTCTTTGTGAAGGACGTCAGTATTTTACATAATGAACCAAACTTGTATAAGATCTCAGAGAATTAATTGAAAAAATATAAGGACAATGTTTTTGTGTAGTAAAAGCTCACTGTGAAAATTATTGTTATGGTAATTGTGAAGCAAAGCTATAATTTACACAGCTACTCTTGTCTGTTCAGCTATTGTATCTCTCTTAGATTCCTTTTATCAGGGCTCAGTAGTTTGCACTGTAGAAAAAAAAGTTATCTGGAACACCTGGTCCCAAACTGATGGATTTTTTTTTTTTTTTAATATGTTCTTTGTCTTTATCCTTCCTGAACAAACATAAGACTTGTAGAAATTGTTAATAATTTTTTCAGTAGTTTTTTGACCTATCAGTCCAGTATCATTGTTTATATTACACGGGTTTTTTTTCAGTAAAAAGGATGCCAAAAACTTCCAGAAAAACCACTGTCATGTAAAATTTAAAGGTACTGAGACAAAGGAGAGATACAGAGTAGGATTTATAACTTAAAACAATATAAGCAATTATTTTCCATGGTGTTTGAGTTTTCTTACCTTACACTTCTGGAAGCTTGTTGTATGCCATTGTTTTTTCGTATCTTGATTTAGTTGTTCTCTTGCATAACTGTGATGGAATTTGCAGAAAACCCCACACCATACTATGGATGGAAAGCTGCTTGATTTGGGATTTCAGTGCAATTTTCCTGTCCTTGGAGAGAAGAGTGCCCTATCCAGACAGTTGCAAGATATGATAGAAGTAATAGCTTTACATTGAAGTTAGAGTACTTCTGTTTTTTCCTTTAAAGAGATGAGAGGGTAGCCAAATAATAATTTGATTGCTTTTTTGAGGCATATAGATTTAAAAAATTTAGACATTATTTTAGCTGTTTGCAAAAAGATGAAAATAAGTCACTTTTATTACTTTGGAAATAGGTATTTGATTACACAGGCATGATCCATTATTTTTTCATTTACTGCCTATATCCTGAAGTGTTTTTAACTTAGAAAAAATGCTTAGAAGCTCTTGATAAGACAGTGTGTTCACATACTACTTGACATATAAATAGAATAACTTTTTTCTCATTGCCAGATTTTTTAAATGTAAAATATCAGTATACCTAAACCAAATAGAATTATGAATATTGAGATCTGTCCTGTATTTTGAACGTGGGAGAGAAAACTGAAAGCTTTATAATCAGAGTCTGTCATCTAAAAATATATAACAAAATATGAGGTGTTTGTACCTCCTGCTACTATTCAGAGAATATATTAAAAATGGGCAGACATGATGGACTACCTGGCTGATCAGGGTAACTTCCTTTTCTCAATTTCTGGAGTTCTGATCTGTGCATATGGCACACATGTTCTGTCACATTCTTTCTCTATACCAGGTTTTTTTAGTACTGTGTTCTTTAGGAATTTAAGCTTATTTTAATTTGTGTATTAGTGATGTTAGTAGAATGCACATTTTATTTTTAAGTTCATGTATTCAGATGACATTCCCAACTGTGCAGATCAATGGGAGACTAAGATGCTTAGATAACAGAAAAGCAAGAAGAACTTCTGTTTCTGAGTGTAGTGCAATCTATGGAGTGGCTCCACATCCAGTGTTTGTCGGGGCTAGTAGGGTGTCAGAAGTCATTAACAGTGCTTGGTCTGAGCTGGTCTGTTTAGGTCACCATTAACTGAGTGCTTTGTCCTAATGTTCAAATGCACAAGAATGTTTATTAGCATGGTTGCTCTCTGCATTTTTCTGTTTTCACACTTGAACTGGTAAGTCTTCCCCTAACGCGGCATGCTGAGGCATACCCATAGCACATATGCACTCTGCTATATATTGTGTCTGCAGTTAGTCTGATGCTTTCAGAAAGTGTTGGTCTCGCTTTGTATGCTTGACAGAGTAAGATGTGTTATGTATGTCTTTTTCAGGAGATGTTATAGGGACATGTGCATATATCCATAGGGGATGTATATGCCACTTGAGATTTTCAGACCCACTCTTAAGTGTCATGTAATTGCTCTAAGAGCACTAAGTCCAAAATGTCCCCTGAGCGCATTCAAACCTGTTACATAGTGTATGAATACATATTTCTCTCTTCAGGATCCCAGAGAGATGCAGTAGTTAAACAATTACTGTTAGGTGGTCTTAAAGTCTAACCTAAATTTTACTTGTTGCAGTTGTTGTTTACTTTTTGTCTGCCCCACAGTGGAAATATGTAAGAGTTATTTATTTTATATGTTAGATCTTCCCTCTGTAATTTTTTTCTTTGGACTGAATAATGAAATTCCATCAGTCTTACTTTGTAAATCGCCTTTTATAGACCTCAGATCATTCTCATTTCTCTCCTTTGCTGTCTCTTCACATTTTTTAAGTGTAGTGTTCAAAAGTGGACTCAGTTGCTCCAACTGAGAACCTTCTTGGCACCAAGTAGAAAGATTATACAGTTCTTGGAGGAGATTCTCTTTATACATCCACATATGAGGTTTACCTTTCCATAACAGCATGGTATTGTTGAGTCATGCTCTGTTTCTGATCCACCAAACTCCCCGTATCTTTTCCTGCAGAGGTGCTGTCTGACCAGTCCTTCCCCCTTCTGTGCATTTGTATAGTTATTTCTCCTTGCTCACAGGACTTTGCATTCTCCCTATTTAAACTTTATCAGTTCTTTCAGTTTCTCCAGTTTGTCAGAACTTTCTTCAAAACCTGTTGTCACTTGCATTGACACAACTGTGTGTGATGTATGTGCTGTAATATGATATATGATGTGAATGTATCACAGTCTGTGCACTTTTAATAAGCAGTCTATCTGTCCCATTATGCAGATTATCATTGTGATTCAGTGACAACATTGAATGGTTTTTGAACAAGGTCAGAAGGGAGCATGAAAAAATGTGCTCACCACCCATTTTCCATGTAACAAACACTCAAAGCAGCTACCAAGTTGAGTACAATTTTTATGGTCAGTTGTACAGCAAACTGATTGTGATTTTTGTCTAGGTCACACTTCCCTAGCTTTCTTGTAAGATGTCATGAGAAATATTGTCAAAAGCCTTACTAAAACCATTATAAATAACATCTGCTTCTTGTTCCCAGTGCACAAGAGCTGTTACCCTATTACAGAAAGAAATATGTTGGTTTAGTATGGGGTTTTTTTCCCTGACAATTTCATGTTAGCTGTTACACATTTTATTGCTATCTTCTAGTTTTTTACAAATAGTTCAATAGTTGAAGCTTTTTTTTTTCTTGAAATAGAAATTCAATTAACTAGTATAAAGTTGTAATTACTTGTCTCTAATGAAGAAGATTAATTAAACACTGTTCACAAATGCCTCTAGAGAGCTCTATATTTCTTGAAGACAGAAAAGTTAATTCTTCTGGACAGCAATATGGCAAAACAGAGCTAAACGAAAGATCAATATCTTAATTTTAGTTAAACTGATGAAGTTTAAACTGGGAGAATGCAAACTTCTATGAGCAGGGAGAAGCAACTGTACAAATACATTGGTTTTACTTAGGGGGTTTTTTTGACAGTGTTAATTTCAGTTTATGAAATATTATAT